ACAGAGGCGTGCTTGCAGAAGCAGAACCAAGCAAAGAAAAAAAATTGTAATATAAAATTGCTTCAATACAGAAAAAAAATAGAAACAGAGGCGCACTTGCAAAAGCAAAACCAAGCAAAGAAAAAAAAATTGTAATATAAACTTGCTTCAATACCAAAAAAAAAAAAAACAGAGTCGCACAAAAAAAAAATTGCAACATGCTTTCGTGTCTTTCTATTTCTAATTCCAACTTTTTGTTCTGGTGTCAAAAAAAAGAAAGAAAAAAGAGAGGGACGGCACTGGCAGAAGTAGAACCAAGCCAATATATATATATATATATATAAAATGCTTAATCGCTGTCCAGTAAAATCAGTGCTCACTTGAAAGATTACCTGAAATTGGAGATGATATAGTGTACAGATCAGTGATCAATCGCAGTCCAGTAACTCCAGTTACAGGAGGTGTGAAAGGGTAAGCTCTGTGAGAGTTGTCTTGCATTCTTGCCATGACCGATGGGGACTAAGAGGAGACCAGATGTTGTGCAAAGTGTAGAGGAGAGTTGGGAGGAGAAAAGTCGGAGGGGAGTTGAGAGGAGAGTTGCGAGGAGAAGAGTCGGAAGACCAGATGTGCGCGGGATGAGACCAGAGGCGATGAGTTTTTTTTAGCTTTTAGGGTTTTCTTTCTTTATTTTATAAATAGAAAAGTTGGAAAGACATAATTAACCTTAAAAATTTTTAACTTAAACTTTAGATGTGGGGTTAACATGGTAATTTTATCAAAATAATCAAAGAAAATTACATAGCGGCTGCTATGCACGCTATCCGCTATTTGTATTGCGGCCGCTATTAGCGGTAATAGCAGCTGCTATTGAAGAAACGCTACGCTATGAAAATTTGTCATAGCGGCTGTAGCTGGCCGCTACGCTATGCCGCTATAGCGGCCGCTATGGCCGCTATTGACAACACTGTTTGCAACTATGCAATGAGTTGAGGGGTTGATTTGTGTCTATTTTTAGTTGAAGGGTTGATTTGTCATCATTCACTGAGTATAGGGGCTGATTTGCCACCATTCATTGAGTACAAGGGTTGATTTGCCACAATTCATTGAGTACAAGAGTTGATTTACCTTTTTGCCTTTTTTTTTTTTTTTTTTT